CGATGTTGTCATCAAGCTTGATCAACCTCATTAATTTAATAAATTTATTTAATAAGTCTAATACTAGTTTAGACATTTCTGATTGGAATAGATTTTAATTGAAATTTATAATAAATATAGTCGACAAGTAGTTGAGTGCAGTGTATACGTAGCGTACTTTAAATATACAACAGACTTACTCTTCATGATTTCCTCTTAAGTAGAATCTTAAAACTCAATTGGTTCTTACATTTTCTGCTATTTTTATTTCTACATAATATAATCAATCAAATACATTGTTATCCATAAACTAGAACGTATCAGCTGATTTCTAACAGGACAACTAATTAAGCCTTTAAACATCGGTTTGAACATGGTTTTAATCTGGTTTTAAGCGATTCAATGTTTTTAAGCTGTTAAGTTGTATATGAAAATATGCAAGGAAAAAAATTTGGTTAACTAGGTACTAAATACCAGATAGAGCGAATTGTAAATTTTTATGTAGTTTTTGTAATAGCCATTTTTGCAAATCTAAGCTTTACTTAAAACTTTGTGCCTGAAACAGAATCGCCAAGTATTTCAAAAAAAAGTTATTCACTATAAGACAATCTTTAGTATAATTGAAATATTATAGATAGAATGTTAATGTAGTCGTTTTAAATAGTATTTTGTAGAAAAACAAAAAAAATAGTATCTAAAGAAATAGCATGTTAGGGAGAAATAAAATAGGAAATTGAACAACTTTAAGAAATTGCAAAGATAAAGATTACAAAGATCTGAACTGTTGTTGAGTGCTAGCAATATGAATACTGTATTGACAGAGCTTCAGCAGTAGTTGAGTGTACGTTACGTAGTCATTCGTTCTTGACAAGTTGCAAGGTACTGCATGGAAATATGCATTTTCAGAAATGGTTGTACTACATATAGCACAGCAACATCAATAATATTGACCTCATCAATATTAATGTTACTTTAACTTAAAAACAAAAATGCATTTGTCTTATATACAATAAAAGCCGCTTTAACCGTTTTCGAATGAGTATTTAATACTACCCTATTGATTTCTATATATTTGATATTCTACTCCATAATCACTTATCGATCATTTATGCAAGAATTATTCATTCCATTTTTGTTATTTAAACCAAAATATTTTTTTTATAAATGTACTGAACAATAATAATTATGTTGCTGTTGTAGTAATATTGCAGGGTAATAATTTATGATAAAGATATTGTAAGTAGCCTTACTAATTACACTACGGCAATTTTTTAGGTTCTATATTTGTTGCTGTTAATATGGCTACATTTGGCTATCAAAAAACTGATAACAGTTGGTTAATGTATATTACATTAAAAACAAAACAAAAAAAACATACAAAATGCTTAATAAAGATTAGCTTATCAATTTATATTTACATATTACTTATTATTATCTTTAATATCTTTATATCAGAATAATACTATGTATTTTTAGACATAAAATATGTTTCTCTATGGAGAGCATCCACAAATACATTAATATTAGAAGTTCCAGCATATAATAGCGAACTATATACAAATTTAGAAGAGTTCATAATACCTTAAAAGTACGATACTATATATATCTTCAGAAATGTTTCAAAACACTTTTAATAAAATTTGTAAATAATTTTTGGTATATTTATTCTCAAAATTGCAATTTTAATGCATTCAACCAAATAACATAATTAATGGTTCGTTTTTTAGTTGCAAATAAATAATTTTAGCTATCACACATATTTAATATGTCAAATAAAAGGCTGTTTCCGGTTTCGCTTACAGCTTATATAGTTCCGGAGTAAACAAATTATGAATATTAATTCACATTTGGTGGCGAATGTGCATTTCATACGGTTCATTTGCTCGTGTAGTTCTCATGTAGAGTTTTTCATTTTTCATTTTTCTCATTTCATGTTGAGACAATTGCGTTGAAAATTAAATTTGACTCTAAGAAGAACTTCCTTTTTCTGTTCCCCCAATAAATATAGTATGTTTTTTTTTCGAATATGTAAGGCCTTTAACATGTGTCTCGTGCAGTGCACCCACACATAAATATATTTCATAATATCTACTAAAAAAAATACCGAAGAAGCAAAAACGTGCATTAACATTGAGCATGACAATGCTTGTGGGCATGGGTATTACTCTGTACAGTTTGTGGACTAAGCTACCGACTGGGGTCTTTCAACATGCACGGATAGCAATTGCGTTTATTAATGATAAGAGTCTGATTAAATTAACATGTTTATCTATACAATAACGCGTTGAACTGTGGCAATGCCAGTAAAGAGCAGTGAAAAGAAATTTAATATGTTATTTTATAAATTCAAATTGTATTTAGTTATTGGTGGTTTCTTTCCTTATGAAACTTTTTTTTTGTAAATATCATACAGAATTCATTCACAAATTTTGTAATAAAGATACTTTTTTCTTGTCTTTTACTATACACAATTTGTAACTAAAACTGTGCTCTTAAACATATCTTTTTTTCTTTTCTCTTCAGTACGTATGAAGAGATACTCTCACAAAATTTTGTTCGCTCAGATACTCGCTACTTTTTTTAACAACTAAACTGCTTCGTGCTGTGCAATTATGTCACATTTTCACATTATAAGCAAAATGTATCCGTTAAGTTATCTATCGAAAGGTTTTCATAAGTTAATTATTTAATAAGTACACGTTTTAGTAGATATTGCTTTCATGCGGTTTATCGCATTTACACAGATTTAACATGAATTATAATGATTTATTAAATAGTCGAGATTGAATCGGATGAAATATTTAAGCTAAATGGCTTAGCATTTTTTTATTTTTTTGCTTGCTTATGTTTTCTCCATTGATTGCGTGTAGGCATTCGAAGTACGCGGCGTACCTTCACTTTGATATTTTACGATAGATTTGATTTTCAACAATTATTTTATATGATTATCGTTTTTATTTCAATTAATATTAATTTTGACATTAATTAGCTATTTATTGCTTAGGCTTTACGTTTTGGCGCCACCTTTTGTCACTTGAGATGCGCGCTGTTTTCTAATTAAACACTCGTCGCTATATTTTATGTTGAATTGTAATCATTATTTGTATTATTTGTATATTAATTTACAAATTTAAAATTGCAGGCGGAAACCGATAATTTGTAAAGCGTTTTGCATCATCACAATGATTTTATCTACACGAGATACTTTTGTACTTAGTAAATTTTAAAATTTTTTATCTAACTTTATTGTACTTTTTATGTTAAGCGTGTGCAAATAAGCACATCAACTAAATTTATACTGAAAGATACTTTCTACAACACATAACTTTAATTACATTATATATTTAATATTTTTTTCAAACTTTAATTACTTCTAAACTTTGAACTATTTAATTCAATATTTGATTTTTGCTTTGCTTTAAACTTTTACACATTAAATACTTGTGGATCTTTTACAAATGCAAAATAATTTCATACAAAAATTGTATTTTATTAAATAAAATTCCACTATAAACAGGAATTTATGTACTTTCTGTTCTTTAACAGACACAACCCAAAGCAAAAATCAGACTAAAGCGCATACGTCCACAGGAGAGAACACGTACCCCAGCAAGAAAGCAAAATAGCAAGAATTGACAGAAAAAAATTAAATAAAATTCTATCCCTGATTGCGAATATCAACTTTTGAGTCATGTGCTTACATCGAGAAATGGAAGGCAGCACAACTGAGCAAATATATGAAATAGAATTTTTTACTGGCGGCAAGAAATTCTACAGGCAGGTATATGGTATGTGAAATGAGCAACGGACGCTGAAATTTCTCTCCAAACTAACTACTCGCCAAATAAAATGTATCTAGAAACGTGCACGTACAAAGTATCTGAGGCATATGAAATATTTTGAATGTTACAATTGCAATTTTTCACGCTCATTCACATAGTATTCAATAGCATTCTCATTCTCTCCTTCTTGGAAATACGTTCACATTTTTTACCTATTTGGTATTTCTCTTCAATTATCTAAATATTTCAAACAACTAGTCAAACTCTTAAACGTCACTCTTTTGCATACCATATGTCCACAATGTGTAGATACAAAGAGACCTTGTCAATTTTTTAAGCTACAAGTTCAGCAGCCTTTGCCAAACAATTTGCTTGCACCTTTTGTTTTATTACCCGGTCCGTAGCTCTTCACTTTCTTTTGAACTCTTTGGGACTATCAAGCGAGATACTACAAGCAGTTTCGGTTGGAAATTTGGTTGAAGAAATTGTGTAAATGGCACAATTTTAAGCACGTTATATTAGTCTCGAGAGTGTATCTTTAGTAAAGTGTGTGTATGTTTGCGGCTATGTGCTTATAAGATACTCTGCTAAGCTATTATGTCATCGTTGTGTTAACCACAAGTGCATGGTATTTACTAAACCAATAACAGTAAGAAATTCTGTTCACTACTAGTTATTTGTGTGTAGTCTTTGGGTATTTTCGACTTAAATAATAAATACTGGATATATTTTAGATACATATTTTAAAGCAATATTTTACTAAAAAAGGGGAAAAATATGTTATATATTAAATACATTTTATATATATTATTATTCTCAAAGTGATAGTTTTAAAGTCCGTAAAGAAGAGCAAGTGGTTTGGCTACCAACTTATAATTCAAATTTAAATAAATCACACTTTCAATAAATAAAAATTAAATAAAAAATAAGAATGAGTAAATCTAATGGTCATATTAGTTAATACTATATTCAGAAAAATATTTATTTATATATAAATATAATAAAACATTTGAAATACAATTATTTTACATACTTTTATATTACTTAATTAACTATTGTTAAATAAAAAATAATTTTTTTATTATTTATAGACATTTA